CAACTCGATGGGGCATTGGACTGTCTATAGGACTTGTCTGAGCAAGTGGACATTCCGAGATACCAACTGGATCTTCATTGGCAACAGACGTCCATTCAGTCGCCTACCAGCACGCTAGGACGATCCAATGACGAAACTGCTTGATCAACGATAGAAGCAGAGGGCACAACACTGAGAAGAGTGACGGAACGTCGACCTGCATCTGCGGACCTGCCGCCCGCAAAAACAAGTCGGATGGAAGGATTCTCTTTTGCATTGTGCGGTGGAACCTCGATACACTTTTTGCATTCACTTGGCATTCCTTCTAAAAAATTTATGCAACATTTCCATTCAGCATGCTATTTTTCATGTCTTATAACTAGTAACGACAAATACAGTTGGCAGTAAAGGATTTTAGCACTGTCTGAAAATGTTGGGCAATTTTGATATACGTTTCAGTATTCGGTAATCAGTATTTAATTAAACCTTTTGATCAAACTTCTAATCTACGTGTTCAGAACAGTACCAAAGCGTTTTCTTTCTTGGTACATATGTAGTTGATTGTGAAATACTTCGGTTTCTTTCTATTATTTTAAAGTATACCAGTATTCTGTATTTTACCTTTTGCATGTTATGCTTTAGTTTTTGTCAAGCAGTGTGTTAATCTTTGCCATATGCTATTGTTTAATTTTATTTTCTTTTACTATGCTCCATCTTTTATCTTGCCTTCCTACAGTGACCTCATGAAGGCGGACGAGCTTCGCAGAGCGAAGTACACTTGGCGTGATCTCTGACCCTGTTGTTGTTTCTATGAGAGCTATCATTTACATGAGGAAGATCGGGGCAGAGGCGACCAATGTGCACAGGTCTCATCGTATCCGCCTGTCAGTTATGTATAAATTCAGTAATGAATATACTTCTGTTGAATCCCCGGGTATGAGGATTGATCTTGCACATATTTTGATTTAAGGCAGGTAACACGACATGGTATGGTTTTCTTTGTCGGCGGGAATGACGCCTTAATACAACTCGACACTAATTGCTGAAGTCCGATTTTTTAAATGCAGGTTGAGTAATCTGAGATGCTTGGGACGACTATTGTTTTGGATTTTCTTGGATTCTGCAATACATAATATGGGGAAGTTGAAGAGAACTGACAAAAAATTCAGGCAATCGAGGAAGAAAATCATAACAGATGACAGATCTCAAAAATATAAACCATTTAACACGTTATTTCACGCAGACTCAAACTTGAACAGACAGAATAATGAATCTGCTTCCTTTGAATAAAAATATTTATTGCCCAAAACAGTGAGTTCCTATTCCAAAGGGCTGCCAGCTGTGAGAGTGAAAGTTTGGATGTTCCAGAAAATGGCTTAACAGCACTTTACAAATCTTAAGAAAAAAACTCAGTTCCACAGAATGAAATAACCCGAGTTTCTTTGCAGTACAACATAATGAGGTACCGAAAGGCGTTTTCATACAGTTTATATAGGTTGTAGGGAACGGGGGTTAAGGAAGTGGAAGGAAAGTGTGATGGAAGTTAAGTTAATGGGTTGTTTCCTTGATAAAATGCAAGCTGAGAATAGGGTATTTGACATGTTCTTCCTTTTGACTCCACAAACAGAAAAAAGTAGTGGCCAAGTGTGTTCACGAACGGGACGTAGATAATTTTCGATAAAGTCCGACCCTTGCATTCGTTAGGGACGGAGGTAGGCCCTTTTCTGATTGACCGGATTTCAGAAAGTACGACTGCCTTAGGAAAGCTGAGGGGACGAGGAACGGCCGTTGTTCATATTATCCAACGATATTTCAAATAACTCAGAACTGAGATGCGTGTTCATACAGTGTTATGGATTTCGGATTTGGGACACTCAACCTGTAATTCAAAAAAAAATTAGTCGTCACTAGCAAATTCGTATATAGCATATCCGTAATTTTCTGGAAGCATTTTCTGTTCTTTCTTAACAGCATAAATGACTGGAATTGCATTCATTACTTAATGAGAAAAGCAGTCTGTTTGGCGGTTCACCGCCCTACCGATTTGTCTTCGTCATTGTGAAGACTCGTTTGAAACTATATAAGAACGGTTAATTAACATTAGAAAATGTCAAGGGCGGTCTACACTGAGGGGTTCTCGACGATTCTCTTTATATCAGACGTCACAAATATTCAGGGTGTTTGTTTATAATGAATTTTAATCGTGTGACATGGGTGTTCCTTTCGTCAGTTCGCACGTAAATAGGATATCTCATTTCTTTATTTCGTTAATGTGAATGTCTTGTAAATGTTTAAGTATATATGCGTACTTATATTAATTACAATGCTACTACAGAAAAGCTACTTAAACAAAACCCTTTTGGGCTTCTGATTCGAACTATGAAAATTCTTTCGCCATACTTCATAGTTTCACAGGCGACTGATCAAAACTGTTTCTGCCGGCCTGGAAAACTAGAACAGTTTATTACTATAGATGATTTATAATGACTGGAGGACTAAAATCTTTATTTTGGATTAAAATCGTTATTTTAAGGAATTCGTAAATCCTTATTTTAAGGTCTGATATCAATCGCTCTATTGTTGATGGTTCTGGGGCTTTAGTTTTAGTTAAAGCTTAATCTGTCTAGCCCCTAGCAGTGGTATTAGGTGCAGTAGTATTATCTGTCGAACTGCTAGCTAATAAACCGAATTGACTGATTGATCAAGACTGCATCGTTTGGTTTTTTCCGTTATTCTGATCGCAGTGTAAAATAGTAACGAACATGAATACAGTATCAAAGCCACAGTGGTGATGTTTGCTACTATACTGCTTAAGTAGTTCGTGATTTTCCGCTCATCAGTAAGAAACAATTGTTCTATGGCTAATTCTTATCTACTCTTATTTATTTTATATATGTAAATGTCCTATTGTATGGAATGTAATTGCAGTTCAAGCCTAAGCCTGTAATATATCCGGTTTCCCTGCATTATCGCTGGCTTAACCATAAGCCTCTGCATATTTCCTGCTGATTTAAGTTAACGCTTTGACTGAAATTAATACTGATGCTCAAGCGGTAATGATTAGTTCATACTGGTATTGATGAATTACCACTCTGGGCTGTATCATATGTACATCAGTTTTTGTATTTACTGTAACTTTGCCCACTGTAATCGAAGGTTGTGTTGAACTGCATAAAGAAATCAAAACTGAAATATATTCAATAAATATCATTTTTCTCTACATGCTAGATTCTTAAGCCGGGATTTCACTGTTACGCTACTTTGGCTATTAGTAGTAGATTAGCTTTATGATTATTGATCTATCTAATATTTTAGATCACCTATTGGAGCGTCATACAATCCTAATTTTTGGCGTGGTTCGAGGAAGCATTTTAGTAGGTGTCTTATTTGGAATTAATCATAAATATTGTCGTATCTATGCTGTCAAGCGAAGCAAGTACTTACCATTTACTTCCCTGGCTACTTTCTGTAGTACTCATCGGGTTTCTTTAAGATGTCACAGCTTTCCAGCAGCAGAAGGAGTCTGATAGGAAGATTTAGTTTTCATACGCATTACTCCGTATAATCAAGGGTAACATGGTAAAGCGATTTTATCATTTGTCGATTCTTAACTTGAACTGCATGGTACCTAGTGACTCGACTGCCTCCATTTCTTGCGACGTCCTATGTCTGTTGTTTTGTTGACATTTATTAGTTTGTAATTATTAATTTATGGATTGCGCTTGTAGATCTGGTATCACGTGGCAAAGTGAAAGTCTGCAGATTAAAGAGTCAGAAAGCGTCAAGGATTATTTTCTCTAATACCTTTCGTATCTTGTTTCTTGTTGTTCACTGACAGCTCAAAATGAGTAAACTGGTAAGATAACTTTCGGTATAATTTGTTTGTCGTTGATACTTTTCCCTTTGCAATTTCTACTTATTTTCAGGATAGTTCCGTCACCATTAGAACGGCGAAGGTCATGACCAATAGGCTACTGTGCAGAAAACAGATGGTACGTTAATTCATTTTTTGTTTTTGCGGGAAAATTCGGCCTTGATTTTTGTCAATGCAGTTCTTAGACCTTAAGAACTGTTTGTTATTTTGCATTTTATGCATATTCCTGGGCTGAAGAGAGAAGCTACATGTAAAAGTTTAGCCGCGACTGAAATTGGATAGCGGGCTGTAACTTGCATATATTATCCTTGCTAATCCACGGATGTTTTTATTCAAGAAGTATAGCCGGGGAATGCCGAGGTGTTGAATGAGGTTTACAGCATAGCGTGCGAAGATTGCAATAAGATTTTAAAAGGACCTACCAAAAAATGAATTTCCGGATTAAGGAACGCATGTTTACAATCTGTCTCAGACAGGCTGACGACTCTGATATTGCCCAACATGCCCTTTTTGATGGATATTCCATCAGTCACACAGATGTGTCTGCAATCACCAAGCACAAGTGTAGGCTTGGTCTTTTAATAAAGGTCGGTACCTACATATTTTGGAGATGGAACATCACATGTGCAATGAACACTCTTTTGTGATAAATGATTGCTAGGGTGTTATGGCTTCCTTAATAAGAAAGTTTGGAATGACATGAGTAGTTGAGATTAAATAGTACATTTAAAGTTACGAATATGTTGTCTAAAATCTGGTGTCAGTCTGTCACTGGTTTTAAACTGAGGTATTTTGTTTACAAGACGGCTTGTTGCCTGCATATCGATTGTATTGCGATTATGATTGGCATGCGTACGAATTGCTTTGACCTAAAATTGTTAACATCCGCATTGTTTAGTTCCCTCACCCATGAATTGGCAAACCCTCTTCAGTCCTCGTGATTTTTGCGAATAAAAGCAAATCGGCAGTGTACCTAAAAATTCTGTCATATGACAATGAATTCATTAAAATTCATTAATTCAGAAAATTTATTCATTATTTCAGTTTTCTTACACGAGTGCTTTTCAAGCTTTCCACATGTTTTTTTTGGTTTGTGCAGTTCAATATTTCGTATCCTTTTGTGGACTGTTGTATTCTTTGGCTGCTATTAGCCAGATTTGTTTAACGCAGTTTTTTTTAACTTTTTTGATTGTACTATTTTTTAATGATCATTTGTACGGTTATAATCATCTGT